CATGTAAGTTACAAATATGTCGAGTTCTCATGGAGTACGACCACCAAAGCGAAAAAACGTAGCATCTACTAGTAATCATCCATTGTCGACGCCAACGATATACCCGAACATTTTAGATCTACCCAATAACGTATCTCCAGGGGAATGGAGCCGGGTGACGATTGATTTGTCGAGAAAAGTGTGTATTTTATATATTTATTAGAGTATTCACCACCATGTACATCGCACGTGCACTTACTAGTATCAATAAAAATGAAAGTTACGAAATAGACAAAAACTAAAACATTTGAATCAATCATCTAAAAAGGTCGAATCTAGATTATCTAGTAGAACTCCACACAAACACATTAAGAACTAGCAAATAAGTAGAATAACATCATGACTAGGGCTGCAAACGAGTCGAGCCGAGTCGAATATAGACTTTGTCGAGCTCGGTTTTTTTCATTGCTCAAGCTCGACGAGCCATAAAAATGACGCTCGATCTCGACTTGTGAAACAAATGGAAATGCTCGAGATCGACTCAATGCTCGAGATTGGTTCGATGTTCGAAATCGACGAGTTCGGCTCGAATTTTAACAACTATAAATTATATACCTATGACAATTTTGTGAAATACATATATATAAAAGGTATTTAAGTATTTTACCGCATATTTTAAACCGCTCGACGAGTGGTTCGACCTTTGGAAATTTGGGCTCGAGATCGAATCGATAACATACTCGAGCTCGAGTCGAGCTTTGACTCAAGCGCTCGCGAGCAACTCGCTAGCCGCTTGACTCGTTTGCAGCCCTAATCATGACACAATTATTGTCACCGCAATCTATAAAGTTGAAGGCAGATACCCAAGACATAGAGGACCTTACTTTTGATTTGAAAACGCCGAAACTCCTTGGCGTCAATCGGTAAGCGGAAAAGTCTTACTAGGAGATCCCATCCAACTCGAGCCCGAAAGTTGGATTATAAGGGTGAAGTTCGCTGCAGAAAACTCGGAGTCTCGGAAACGAGGAAACTAGAGGAAATGGCTAGAATACGTTGATCTTAAAGGAAATATTGAACTTCTTTACTATGGGGTGAAAGTGTTTGTTTCATGCTGTTTTTATGGTATTTACTAGTGCTGTACTCACCAATACTTGGAAAGGTATTGATGATTCAAGGTTCTTTATTTTTTATTTATAATTGGTTGCTCAGCCTGTTATTCATTGTCTTTTTATCAACAATAATACCTTCTAATCATGGCTACTTCATAAAACACCGTTTAAAAACAAGTACACTAATCACTAATCATCATTGTCTTCATACCTCATTGTTCCAAATTCCCAACACCAGATCAGATGCTACTGAGATGTATAAACTAAACACTAATCATCATTTATTCACAAATGTCGAAACATGTAAAAAAAAAAGGTAAAACTAGGATGAACCTACGTGCACACATACAACTGTCTGGTCTATTTTTCGCGTATGAAATTTATAAACGTGACCAACGGTTGAAGTGGAATAACGACTAACGGCTGAACGTATCAAACTTGACGAGTGTTGCCCTTTTCACCTGCATTGCTTCTCAATCAAATCAATTTGAGCTGGAACCAAATTTCAAAAAAAAAAATGGAATACGAAAGAAGTATGAAAGTGTCGACATTCAGAATACCTTTTCCGCTTGCTTTTCAAAGACGTTGACGAAGAAGCATTGCTGTGCCAGTTCCTCTTCCTTTGATTAATGAACCAGTTGTTTATCTGCTTCAGTTGCAATCCTGTTTCTTGAACAAGTCTCGCCTTGTCCTCCTCCTGCAAGAAATCAACGATCAGATAAGAGAAAAATTAGAAACATTCGTTAGCAAAAATAACGGGTGGTTTTTGTAATATGTATACGTAATGTGGTTCGAGTGAGATTCTGAAACATACTGTTGGATATGGCCACTTTGAGTGAGACTGCCACCAAGCTTTCAATACTGAAGTCGTGTCACCAGGAAGTTTTCCTGCTCGTCTCTTGCGCAAGATCTCTTCCCGAATATCCACGATTTTCTCCTTGTAACCCTGTTACGCGGTGGACCAAAATAAAATGTGCATAAACAAGCATAAATTTGTGGAAAATGCTCCTAATGAAAAATTGCCACGTCAGCATTTATGGATTACATCTAAGGGTCCATATCAAACTAAAACATCCAATGATTGATATTAAGAGAACATAATCATATCTTAATTTGTATGCAGATATTAAAAGAGAGACTAAGGGGCAAATGGGGATGATATAATTTAGAATGGCTTATTTGTCTAACAAAACAAGCATTGAAAAGAAGGTGAAAAAAATGAGCAACATACGTTCTTGAGTTCGTGCTTGAGCTCTTGTCTTACACGCTCCATTAAAGATCTCTCGTTCTCTGTTGGGATCAAAGGACCAAATCCCATACTGTCAGCACCATCAAAGCTTCCATCGAACAAATTCATATCACTATCATCCAATTGATCATCCTCATCGTCTGACATTGTGGCTCCTGTCCCTTCTCCAGGCGAAACTCCTGCTCCAAAAATTAAAAAAAAAAAATAAATAAATTATTAACAAATGGAATTTGATTAAAAGAAGATGGATATAGT